TTTGGTTGGCATTGGCGACAATATTGGAATAAAACGCCAAAAATGAAAATAGAACGAAGGTGAGTGGAAGCTTTTTACCGTATACCTCCCTCACTACTCAATTTCTAGAAGAGAAGAAAATGAAAATAAGGGGAAAAAGCAAATAAAATCACAATATCTACAGAATGTGGGGAATACAGTCACTCATAAAACCACGATATCAAAGAAAAATCGATTACGTCAATGATGGTCATAGACTAGAGTCTAAATAAATTTTAAACACCACAAAGGCCGAATCGAACGGCTGCGAGTCCAACTCGCCTACGGGTTTGAAGCCCGCACCCAGCACCAGCTAAGCTCATCGTGGCACACATACACACAATTACATACATGCACGGGACACACACCTGATGACCATAGGGGCGTGTCAAAACCGCTTTTTTGCCCAATTATACGCCATATTACCTTTCTTTTTTTTTTTCCCTTTCCAGAAGAACGAAAACAAAAGGAAAAGAGGGTTAAATTCAAGGCGATCCATGAAATGGTGTTATTTAGTAATCAAAAATAGTAAAAAGAAAATTAACAGTAAAACTGTTGTATGCCCAAATGCTTACCAAGCGTACCCCCCTAGTTGTCAATCCCTTAATATAGTTCCCCTGACTTACCCATATAATATGTGAATTATAATAAAACCATTAAAAATAATTAAAGTAAAAAAAAGAAAACCACCTGTCTAATATTTACTTCTGTGAGAATAATAATAGTAAATAATGTGAGAAATTTCCTGTAGAGTTTTAAATAGAGTTCTCCGGTAACAAGACCATAGAACCTTCTGTATTAAAGATTGAATTGCGAATCCATTCTTCAACAAGGAGGGAAGCACTATGGGAGTCATCAGCCATATCTTCAAAAACGCGCATACATGCCTTTACAGAAGGAGGTTGTCTTACACAAAACTGCTGTACAAGAAGTCCTTGTAATAATCCCTGGTCCTCTTCGGACACAACTTGTTTCTTCTGTAACTCTACTTCGGCAGAGTTAAGAATACCGAGCACTCCCTTCATACTTTCTTTTAAAAATTCATTATAGTGAGACTTATCTGTTTGTGGGTTAGCTACAGCAGTACTCGCAGTAATAGAGGTTGTGGAGGTGGAGATGGTGGTAGAGGTGTCACGCAGTGAACAACGCAGGGCGTCGTCCAAGTTCGCACGCCAGATCCGGAAGACGCTAGTAATATCCCCAGTAATTTTTTTACCAAAAAACTGTGATTCCACCTCTCTTGGTGCTGCTGCGAGGTACTCCAGAGTAAAGCAGCGTTCTCTCTTCCCATTTGAATCGATTTCATTCTTACCAATATGCCAACTTACCCAGTCCAACGCTTGCAATGCTGCTTCAAGAGGCACTCCCTCTTGACGACGATTTAGATAAGCGTATGTAGTAGCAACCAATACCTCCATTGCATGACGTGACATTTCTTCTTCATCCGCTATGTCATACTCATCACACCAAGTACTTGAGAGATGAATCTTGTCAGCTTCTGGAGTTACGTATATTTTTATTTGTACATGAATAAAGAAATTACTATTAAGATTACGAGCTTCAAGTTCTTTTAGAAGAGGTCCATCACAACAAGCTCCTACGCTGATATCACTGGAATTAACCCGATCAAAGACTCGTTCAACAAAGTGAAGTGCTGTTGGAGAGTATAATGTAACTGGTTTGCGTTCATTAGTTCCTGAATCAGAGTCTATTTCAAATCCTCTCAATCTTCGTAACGCATCAAGGAGACAACCAAGAAGAGAAGTAATAGAGAACCATTTCCTATAATCAGGTTCCCCTTTAGTAAAATCAAGGTGCCACCAATGGATAATGTTATGTGGAACGTAACCGTCATTTTCTGCAGGTAGAATAAGTGGCATCATAGTTCTCCGCATAACTGCAATTTCCTCTTCATCCTCTTCTTCTTCCTCATCACTTTCACCGACACATACATCCAATAGTACATCTTCTTCTCCTTCCTCAATGCGTCTTAGAGTTCTATCTAATGCCTTTTCCCACCATGGCATACGTATTGCAAATATAGGAAATTCCAGAAGTAATTTTTCAGCTGTTGGTCGATCAGCTGGGTTTGCTATCATCATTAAATCAATAAGCTTAAGAAAATCATCTGAGAATTGACGACGCTGAAGATTTCTTGCCATCACTTGAGCTCCAACAGTTAAGGCCCATTCTGGCCAATCACCCTTTACTGTACCTTCAATCTCCATTTTCCCATCCAATACGGTTGTATATCTTGTGTAGTCTATTTCGGAGTTATTATTACCAAATGTGACATTTTTCGTACGTTGATAAGCGAGATGTTGACGTAAAAGAGAGAGAGTTTCATTACTGACAAGAGGAATTTTCTTTAATTCCATCAGTGAAGGGTATTCACCACGTGCAACACGAAGCTGAAATGAGGCCACAGCTGCAGGTGTTGGCAATAATCCATCCAAGAAGACTGCAGACATTCCATCCTCTACCTTAGATGCACCGCAGGTCAAAAGGACATAAAATATAGCACCCATACTCCATATATCAGAGGCGTATGAGTATGGACATTGTCTACGGTAACCCCAATAACGTGCGATCTCAGGTGGAGAATAGGCCCCAGAACCAATAAGTGTACGTTCAGTCTCACAATTAGCATCTCCAACCACCGCTGCAATACCAAAATCTACAAAAAAAAGTTCTGTATCACTTTCCCATGCACTACTAGAACGTCGACGTACAAGAACATTTGATGGCTTAATATCTCGATGTAAAACACCATTTTTATGCATGCAGACGAGTCCTTTAAGTAATTGTGATATGAGACAAATAAGATGTTCTTCTGCGAGATATTCTTTGTAACGACGGAAAAAATCCCCAAGAGTTCCACCAGTACCTAACTCCATTAACATATAGGCAGAAGAAATAGTAGGTGATGGCAAACGTGATGACGATACTGAATGCATAATTCGCCTTTCATCCTTCACAGGAGAAGTAGCAAAAACAATACCATAACACCGCGCAATATGAGGATGTGATGGAAGTGAAAGTGTCACTTGAGTTTCTCGTACAAAGTTACAAAGAGCAGGATGTTGCTGTGAAGTTTCATAGACTTCACCATGAACAATTTGACGCAACACTTCCATCATATCCTGCTTCCCTCCTGGTATCTCGTGTTCGGCCATAAGAGAAGACTGTAATAGTTGTGTTAACCCTTTCGCAGCGAAAAAACGAGTGGGGTGTAGTCGACTTTGCGCTAACAAGACCGTTCCGAAACTGCCGCTTCCTAATGGAATAATACAATGAAACAAATTACTGTCTGTACCCGTTTGGTTATTAACTTCATCGCAGACAATACTAGTACCGCTATCCTCAACTAACCCCCACCATCTATCACCAGCTGATGAAAACAACATTTTAACATCTTCACAATTTAACTGCAAAAGAGGATAATTCACAGGATCCCCATTCGACCTAAACCCCGCCGTACCGCCAAGTAGAGCACTACTGGGAGTCCACCTCGAAAGAAAAAACTCACCAACGATCCTATCACACCAAGAGAGCGTCGCACCCTCGAAAACTTTCGATTGGTCGAACAGCATTTCAAACGCAGCCAGCCCTAGTAAAGACCAGAAAAACGTCTAATTGGAGAAAATAATAATAATAATAATAATAATAATAATAATAATAATAATAATAATAATAATAATAATANCACAAAGTCAAAATTACTCTCTCCTCCCCATCCTCCTCCTCATCCTACAACCACACTTCAGTCATAACCTACAGTCTAAGTAGAAAGAGAAAAAGAGAAGGGGAAAATGCAGAGCACCGTAGTGAGGTCCCGAGAAAGGAGAGAGATACAGTCACACTACTCTTGCAGTCTCTTAACACTTAATATATAAATATATATATATATAAAGCGATACAGAGATGAATGTCATAGAATAATCTTAGCCTTACGTCTATCATAAGAAGCAGAACAGAACCCAAAAGAAAAACCTTACATTTATCGTGCACGAATCCGAACCCCAACCGTGTACAATAACTGTATCTCTAATATTTCAAAAAGAAAAAAAAAAGATTATGTAATGAAAAAATACTAAGAACTGACGAAATAGAAGTTCTGAGAAGCCCTTTTATTCCGCCTCCAGCTCGGGGCGGAGAGGGTTGGGTTGGGTGGGCTTTCAGAAACCTACGTTTGACAGACTGTGATTGTGAAAAGAAACAATATTATCCCCAAAGTTAAAAGACCCAGTACATGATTTGCTACCTCATAACACCAGACTCAATCACTCTTTTCACAAACAGTCACGCATACCGCGCGAAAAAATATTAACGACTCACAGAGAGTCGTTAAGCCACTAATTATGGTCACCTGTTTCCGTTTCCCTGCAGGGCGATAAGCTTGAATGGATGGAGCTGCGGAGTTCCTCTGGTATCTTTATTATAATGCGCCGATTAGATCCACCAGGGGTGCTTTGCTGACTCCTAGGTTCGGGAGATCCCGAGTGCTGCGACGTCGATGTCTCCGTCACTCCCTGTCCCTCACCCCGCGGGGTGCGGTGCGGGTCAGTGTCTTGCGGCTTCGGTTGCTCTCCCGGCTGTTCCTGTGATTCTCCCTTGCTGCCACGGCGATGGCGATGATGACGGCGATGATGATGATGATGATGGCCATGCTTCTTTTCTCTGTCAGTTCTCTTGCTGGAGCGGGATCCCGCAATGCGCCTCTGGACAAACGGCACGTGGTCGGACAACCCACTCCATACCAAAACAGTCCCAAGGAAAGTAAGCACCACCGTGGCAATGACCACGCCGCGTACTTTGGTTGGCATTTGCGGCATTATTGGAATAAAACGCCAAAAATGAAAATAGAACGAAGGTGAGTGGAAGCTTTATATCGTATACCTCCCTCACTGCTCAATTACTAGAAGAGAAAAAGAAAATAAAAATAAGGGGAAAAAGCAAATAAAATCACAATATCTACAGAATGTGGGGATACAGTCACTCATAAAACCACAATAAAAAAGAAAAATCGATTACGTCAATGATGGTCATAGACTAGAGTCTAAATGAATTTTAAACACCACAAAGGCCGAATCGAACGGCTGCGAGTCCAACTCGCCTACGGGTTTGAAGCCCGCACCCAGCACCAGCTAAGCTCATCGTGGCACACATACACACAATTCCATACATGCACGGGACACACACCTGATGGCCATAGGGGCGTGTCAAAACCGCTTTTTTGCCCAATTATACGCCATATTACCTTTCTTTTTTTTTTTCTTTTCCTTTCCAGAAGAACGAAAAAAAAAGAGGGTTAAATGGAAGGGAATTCATGAAATGGTATATATAACCTCATCGCTTTGATGACACCAATGCAAGTTGAAGAAAATAAAGAAATTTAAAAGAGAGGAAAAATAACTAACAAAACAGTAGGGGAGAACGACTACACAATTCTTTTTTTCTTTGTGTAAATATGGCACTTGTAACATAAAAAAAAAAAACTATTTCCTTTTTTTTTTCTTCTTGAGGGGTGGGGGAGGATGGTAAATGGAATTTCATGGAAACGCTTTGACCAAGTATTCTTTTCTTCAAGGAATAGTGATAAACGGCCCTTGGCATTTTTTTTTTTTTTTTTGTAGATATTTACCAGAGAAAGAGCGCTAAAGAAGAAAAAGGAAAAGTCTTGTATTCAACTTTTATTGTTCTTTGTTTTTATTATTTAAAAGGCATGGCAAAACCCAATAATGTTAATTTCCCTCCTTCCTCTACTCTTTATCACACACTTCACTTCATTTTATTCTTCTCTTTCTTGTTATTTATGATGTCCCTAGTCTCAGGAACATGTATCCAGATGCACATATGCAACAATAAACACAAAAAAGCAAAAAAAAAAAATTTTTATATAACATAAACGTAGATACTCATATATTTTTTATGTATACCAGTAAGGTGGGTTAAGTCATGAAAGAGAAATCTGCTCTTTCCTTTTTTTTTTTTTTAAACATGCTACTTTCTGTTTTTTTTTTTTTTTTCTCCCTTGTATGTTACTATGGTTTAATGATGCTCAATTACAGTTCTGCGCCTCATTCACTTATTTACTGAGTATAATAGCTACACTATACTTCGTAGACTCTACATAGATCCTACGCATATGGGAGAACCACTGGCAGAGGCCTCTGCTCTGGTTCAATCTCAACTGGCTCTTCTTCCTCTCTTTCATCACGGAATTCTGGACCATTTGGGCCAACATCAGCGGCACAATGTCCATATGAACTCACGCATGGATGTGGTCGTCGGTTGAATACAAATGATGAACTGGTCGTTGTTTGCCTTGTCTGATAACCGTGTGGTCGAGGTTTTTTACTACGTGGTTCATACAATGCCATTACTGCTTTATACGGATAAGTGGCAAGGCGATCTTGTACAACTGAACTTGGTGTTTGTGCCCGATGCCGTACATCAAATTTCACCAGTAGTCGGTGTTTCTCATCCAAAAAATACCGAATATTTCGAATATTGCCTTCTGGTTCCCCTGTAGCTGTAGCAGCCTCACTGGTAAACGCTGGTGTGAGTTCATCACGTTTGTTATTAAGTACGATATCCCAGTCATCTCCACGGAATCGAAGTGCATGTTTTGTACACTCGTACCCATGTTCATCAATTGATCTCTTCTTCTCGGGAAATGGGAGGCCATTGACAGTCCGCTTTGGCGGCTGATCGTCATTATAGGGGGAATTATTCCCTTCATGGTGACCGGGTGACATGATATTCTTTTTCTTGTTTTTAATCTCCTATAGTTTCTTTATTTTTTTTTTTTCCTGATGATAACTACAAAACCTCGTAGTTAATACAATTTGTTTTCTACTTTCCTTGGTTAAATACAAGTAAACTGATCTTTTTTTTCTTTTTTTTTTTTTTTTGCTTTCTGAGCTACTTTGGTAGTCACCGTATTTAAGTTTGCTCTTCAATCTTACTGTCCCTACACATACGATTGCAGCATACAGATGTGAGGGAATTACGTCAAAAACCAAAGAAAAAACAGGAGTAGAGAAAAGAAAATAATAATAAATCTCCAAGAGAAAATAAAAATAAAAATCCCACCAAGACATTATCACCAAGATATATATATTGAATATTAGTTAAACTCTATTCTTTTATACCTTCCACCGCTGGCACTCTAGCACTTTCGTATAAAATCGTTGCATTTTCTTGCCATCGCGTTTTTTCTCTCTACCTTTTCTCTTATTCCCATTATACTTTCCCTAATCACATTAGATTTTTTTTTTTTTAATTAACGCCCGTAAACGAGATGTGGGAAATCATCCGACGGACATAGAATGGAAGGAAAAAAGAAAAACAATGAAATGAAATGAAATGAATAAGGAAAAGTATCCGCATAGAAATACAAAGAAGGAATCCTATATAGTAAAAAAAGATAAAAAAAAAATCTCTAGAGTTTTATACGAACATAATGGCAGCAAAACAAATTTATATTTCTTCCTAGCCAGAAATCCGTCACCTCATCAATATATTTTTTTCCGTGTCTCCTCATATATCTGTTCGATTAACAAACCTCTTCTCGCAATATATAGAAAAAAAACTCTTTCTTCGTCTTTCATTTATTTCTTGACCAGCCTTAAGTTTTTTCCTTGATATATTTTTTTCCCCCCCTCCCATTCACAACCAGACATGATTCTCGTACAATAAAAATACTCTATACAATAATCTACGCCAGTGTGCAGAGGAAACGAATTAACACCATACACCCAGTCATTAGACATCAGAGAAATGACTAATATACGGCAACATATGGCGAGGAAACAAAAAAAAAAAAAAGATAGGTAGGTAGAGAGAGAGAGAGAGACACTATGAAAAATATCAAAAACAAAAAAATATATATATTAAAAGAAAAAGAAAAAAAACAACGACAATAAAAAAAAAAAATTTTAGCCATGAAAAATACAACAAGGAAAAAAAAACAATAATACTAAGGACCAAAAGGCTCCTACAAACTTAGAATTGGGCTCTAAAAAGTGCAAAAATTCTGCACTAACCATGTTCACGTGAAACACATTACAAGTACGTTTTATAAACCCACAAAAAACAACCACCAACACATTTCTACCGTTCAGAGGGGAAAAAAAGAGAAAAAAACAAGTATATCACAATATACAACCGCAAGAAAAAAGAAAAAAACCAGTCGCTACAAGGGAGGGGGGAGGTGCGAACAGTCTGCTCCAAGAAATAATACTTCACGAGATTGTAACTGTAACATCAAACTTTAAAAGAACAGGGTCCCCAGTCAAGGCAAACTATTTGGTCCTCTATTTTTGCAGCCCTCCACACAATGTCATCCAGAAGATGAAATAAGTCAATCATATCCCTAACGCGTAAAAAATAAGCACCTACCCCACTCCATATTATAATCATCTACCTCTTGTACAATGCGATTGTATTAGGAAAATTGAAAGCTTGGAGTCTTACGTGCACTTCCTTCATCATTTCTTCATCATTCTCGTGACGGACGGTAAAGGTAGCAATAAGAAGGTCATTAAATACAAACTTCAGCCCTGAAATGCGCCTCTCAGGCAAACCACTCCCTTCAGTCACATCCTTCTTGAAGGCAGCCTCCAGTTCACTCTGACGATTATTTAGTACACCCTCCCACCTTGGTCCCCGAAAACGGATAGTGTGCTTTGTCCTTGCATTCCTCACGGGGCCAACAGTTTGTGGCTGCTGCACCTCCACATGTTGTGAGTCCCCCGCTTGGGGTGGAGCCTCCTGCGCTCCTACGGGCGCACCCGTGTCGTACAATGCGGTCGTATTAGGAAAACCGTAAGATTGGAGCTTTTCGTGCACTCGCTTCATTATATCTTCGTCATTCTCGTGACGGACGGTAAAGGTGGCAATAAGAAGGTCATTAAATTCAAACTTCACCCCTGAAATGCGACTTTCAGGCAAACCACTCCCTTCAGTCACATCCTTCTTCAAGGCAGCCTCCAGTTCACTCTGACGATTCTTTAGTACATTCTCCCACTTTGATCCGCGAAAGTGAACGGTGTGCTTTGTCTTTGCATTCTTCGCGCCGCCAACAGTTTGTGGCTGCTGCACCGACACATTTTGTGAGTTCCCCGGCCTGTACAATGCGATTGTATTCGGAAAACCGTAAGATTGGAGCTTTGCGTGCACTTCCTTCATCATTTCTTCGTCATTCTCATGACGGACGGTAAAGGTGGCAATAAGAACGTCATTAAATTCAAACTTCAACCCTGAAATGCGCCTCTCAGGCAAACCACTCCCTTCAGTTACGTCCTTCTTGAAGGCTGTCTCCAGTTCACTCTGACGATTATTTAGTACACCCTCCCACCTTGATCCCCGAAAACGGATAGTGTGCTTTGTCTTTGCATTCTTCGCGCCGCCAACAGTTTGTGGCTGCTGCACCTCCACATCTTCTGAGTTCCCCGCTTGGGGTGGAGCCTCCTGCGCTCCTTCGGGTTGTTCACCCTTTTCTTCCTCCGCTTGCCTCTGTGGCACCTCTTCCTCTTTGGGCTGTTCCTCTTTTTCTTCCACCTGCTTCTGTGGCACCTGTTCTTCTGTGGGGTACTCCTCCTCTGCCGTTTGCTGCGCTTTATTCACTTTGGGACGGGCCTCATTCTCTGCCGTTTGCTGCCCTTTATTCACTTTGGGGATGATTTCATTCTCTGGAGGATCATTCCTCGCTGGTGGTACATTCGCCCCCTTCTCGGCATAACCGTTAGTGTCAGGTTTGTTCTGTTTTCTCTCCTCGAGATTCTTCCCGCCACTGCGGCGTCTCTCAAGGTCTCTTCGCACCTCTTCCGGCATGTCATGCCAGACATAGTTATAACGGCGCCCGGCTTCATCAACGGTCATTTTCGGTTTGGTTTGGTTTGGTTTGGTTTAGTTGTCAAGTTGCTTTCCCTTATAGAGATAATTGCTACATGAAGAAACCAGGGGAGAAAAGAGGAGTTGTAGGGAACCCTAGAATGTCAACAGTTTCTATGAGGCACAGAGAGACACCATACCATGGTACCACACAGAGCGTACATCACGGTACGTCAACGAAATATCAAGATAATAAGAAAAACGAAAAAAAAAAAAAGAACCAAAAAGGAGTACAGCAAAAAAAAAAAAAATAGACTATGAAGACATAAATAAAAAGTTGAGGGAAATACGTTGAATATGCAAGCAGTCATACAAACAGACGGCATCCTTTTTTACTTCTCCCTCGTATTCACGTCATCCTGAATTCCAACTATCTCAAGAGACAGCAAAAATATTCAGACCCTTATCTTTGCAAGGGTCACAAAAAAATAAAAACACATATATTTATGCCATAGGAAAAAAACAAACAAAATTCAAAAAATACTAAGAAAACAAATAAGTAGATAGAGGGAGGGGACGCGCGAACAATCAGCTCCAAGAAATAATACTTCACGAGATTGTAAGTGCAACGTCAAACTTTAAAAGAACAGGGTCCCCAGTCAAGGCAAACTATTTGGTCCTCTATTTTTGCAGCCCTCCACACAATGTCATCCAGAAGATGAAAGAAGTCAATCATATCCCTAACGCGTAAAAAAATAAGCACCTACCCCACTCCATATTATAATCCTCTAACTGTCGTACAATGCGGTTGTATTAGGAAAATTGAAAGCTTGAAGCTTTGCGTGCACTTGTTTCATCACGCCTTCGTCATTCTCATGACGGACGGCAAAGGTAGCAATAAGAAGGTCATTAAATTCAAACTTCAGCCCTGAAATGCGCCTCTCAGGCAAACCACTCCCTTCAGTTACGTCCTTCTTGAAGGCAGCCTCCAGTTCACTCTGACGATTATTTAGTACATCCTCCCACTTTGATCCCCGGAAATAAATAGTGTGCTTTGTCCTTGCATTCTTCGCGCCGCCAACAGTTTGTGGCCGCTGCACCTCCACATCTTGTGAGTTCCCCGCCCCATTGGGCGCATCCATGTCGTACAATGCGATTGTATTAGGAAAATTGTAAGATTGGAGCTTTTCGTGCAACTGCTTCATCATTTCTTCATCATTCTCATGACGGACGGTAAAGGTGGCAATAAGAACGTCATTAAATACAAACTTCAGCCCTGAAATGCGCCTCTCAGGCAAATCAAACCCTTCAGTCACATCCTTCTTCAAGGCTGTCTCCAGTTCACTCTGACGATTCTTTAGTACATTCTCCCACTTTGATCCCCGAAAACGAATGGTGTGCTTTGTCCCTGCATTCCTCGCGCCGCCAACAGTTTGTGGCTGCTGCACCTCCACACATTGCGAGTCCCCTGGTCCTTTGGACTGGCCCACCTTGTACAATGCGGTTGTATTAGGAAAATTGTAAGCTTCAAGCTTTGCGTGCACTTCCTTCATCATTTCTTCGTCATTCTCATGACGGACGGTAAAGGTGGCAATAAGAACGTCATTAAATTCAAACTTCAACCCTGAAATGCGCCTCTCAGGCAAACCACTCCCTTCAGTTACGTCCTTCTTGAAGGCTGTCTCCAGTTCACTCTGACGATTCTTTAGTACACCCTCCCACTTTGATCCCCGAAAACGGATAGTGTGCTTTGTCTTTGCATTCTTCGCGCCGCCAACAGTTTGTGGCTGCTGCACCTCCACATCTTCTGAGTTCCCCGCTTGGGGTGGAGCCTCCTGCGCTCCTTCGGGTTGTTCCTCTGTCTCTCCTTCCACCTGCTTCTGTGGTACCTCTTCCTCTTTGGGTTGATCCTTCTTTTCTTCCACTTGCTTCTGTGGCACCTCTTCCTCTTTGGGTTGATCCTTCTTTTCTTCTACTTGCTTCTGTGGCACCCGTTCTTCTGTGGGGTACTCCTCCTCTGCCGTTTGCTGCGTTTTATTCACTTTGGGGATGATTTCATTCTCTGGAGGATCATTCCTCGCTGGTGGTACATTCGCCCCCTTCTCGGCATAACCGTTGGTGTCACGTTTGTTCTGTTTTCTCTCCTCTTTGGGATTCTTCCCGCCACTGCGGCGTCTCTCAAGGTCTCTTCGCACCTCTTCCGGCATGTCATGCCAGACATAGTTGAGACGGTTCCCGGTGTTATCAACGGTCATTTTCGGTTTGGTTTGGTTTGGTTTGGTTTAGTTGTCAAGTTGCTTTCCCTTATAGAGATAATTGCTACATGAAGAAACCAGGGGAGAAAAGAGGAGTTGTAGGGAACCCTAGAATGTCAACAGTGTCTATGAGGCACAGAGAGACACCATACCATGGTACCACACAGAGCGTACATCACGGTACGTCTAAGGAGTATCAACGACAGGTAAGCACAGATAGAGACACATAAAAAGAAAGGAAATCGCAGAAGAGTGATTTATAAAAAAAAACATAATAAAAGACATATGAAACCGAATGATATTTAGCTAAAAACATAAAAGTTATGCTTCGCACAACGATGATATGAAATAAGTAAAGCAATACATTCTTACGTACTCCTCTTTGTACGGAGAAATACCGCTGGAGGTACAAATATTTGACGGATGGAGTTGGATACAAACAAAATAAGTATACAAACAAAAAAAAAAAAAACAGGTGGTTTAATATAAATAATAATAATAATAATAATAATAATAATAATAATGCCACTAAGTATATAAATAAAAAAAAACACTGCCACCACAAATAATACTTCATGAGAAGGTAACTGTAACATCAAACTTTAAAAGAACAGGGTCCCCAGTCGGGCAAACTATTTGGTCCTTTATTTTTGCAGCCCTCCACAGAATGTCATCCAGGAGATGAAAGAAGTCAATCACATCCTTAACGTGCAAAATATCAGTACCTACCCCACTCCATATTATAATCCTCTACCTCTTGTACAATCCGGTTGTATGCGGATATTTGTATGACTGTAACTTCTCATGCGCTTTAGCCATGTCTGCGTCATTCTCGTGACGGACGACAAAAGAAGATATGAGAACATCACAGAACTCGAACTGAACATTCGAAATATATTTTTTATCAATGCCAATAGCTTCAGCAACGTCATCTTTGAAGGCAGTTTCCAGCACGTTTTGATCATCCTCCAGGATTTTTGACCACCGGGTACCACGAAAACGGATGGTGTTTCGAGACCTTTTGCTTTCAGAAGCCTGGTCAAAGCCATCCTGAATGTAAAGAACATGTACATCATATCGAGTCTCATCCAATTCCCGCGGTCCATCTTCCTCATCGTCGTCCTCAAGCATTTCTTCCTCCTGAGGGAGGAGCTTCTCTACAAGCTCATCTTCCTCCTTGGGGTATTCCTCCTCTGCCCTTTGCTGCGCTTTATTCACTTTGGGGATGATTTCATTCTCTGGAGGATCATTCCTCGCTGGTGGTACATTTGCCCCCTTCTCGGCATAACCGTTAGTGTCACGTTTGTTCTGTTTTCTCTCCTCTTTGGGATTCTTCCCGCCACTGCGGCGTCTCTCAAGGTCTCTTCGCACCTCTTCCGGCATGTCATGCCAGACATAGTTGTGACGGCGCCCGGCTCCATCAACGGTCATTTTCGGTTTGGTTTGGTTTGGTTTAGTTTAGTTGTCAAGTTGCTTTCCCTTATAGAGATAATTGCTACATGAAGAAACCAGGGGAGAAAAGAGGAGTTGTAGGGAACCCTAGAATGTCAACAGTGTCTATGAGGCACAGAGAGACACCATACCATGGTACCACACAGAGCGTACATCACGGTACGTCTAAGGAGTATCAACGACAGGTAAACACAGATAAAGACAATAAGAACAAAAAAAGGGTAAAAAAAGAAAAAAAATTTATCGACGAAGAGTCTGAATTTAACAACGAAAATGAAAAACAAAAGAAAAAAAGTGCGGAGAAAATAGAGTTTGAAAATGCTTGCGGTAGACTCACCACAAAATGACTATCTTAAATAGTCTTTTTTTTTTGTTGTTTTGCGTCCAGTTGGTTTTAATTCGTTAAGAAGAAATATTCTGAGCTGCACTCACAAGAATGTCAGTGATCAGCCATTTATTTCCATGCAGAATAAAAACTTCGTTCGCAATGTTAAGTCCATATATTTTGAACTTTACACTGCACTGAACGGCAAAGTATTTTAACAATGGACACCAGATATAAAAGAGATCATAAGAAATAGTCATTCGTTCAGAGTAATTTCCTGGTATTATATT